AAATAAATTTTTTCTTATAAAAATGTTTAATCTCTTCCAATATTAAATTGGTTAATTTCAATTTAAAAAATTTTAAACTTTCAAATTCATTTATAGAGCTACATATATTATTGAGTACATATATGTACTTCAAAAAAACTTAATTCCAAAAATACAAACCCATAGAATTATTTAAATTATTTATTTAATAATACATAATATATTTGATTTAATATACAAAATAAATAATATAGAATACGAAAATATTGAACTTTGTATACAACAAGAATGCCTCGCTCTATGAATTAATTCGTATTAATCAGAGAAAACAAAATATTAACCAAAACCATTTGTTATATTATAAGTACATAATAAAATGTATGCTCATATGTACATACATGCATATATAAATGTACATGTATAAAAGCACAAAGTACTCGTTAATAAATGATTTACTTGTTGCGATATAAACACTGTGTTCTCTTTGTACATTATATGATTATAATAAAACCTATAATATTAAATAGATATAAGTATGCATATGTATAAATAACCATTATAGACATAATTTATAAAGATGTATGTATGTATGTTTGCAAACATGATTATAACCATAATAATGTAAACATTTTTATATTTTAATATAAATGCGTGCTAAAATTAATAAATTTGTATTGCAAAATTCGAATACACTATTTATCTTCTATATACATATACTCGTATGTATACTTATTTATTTTTTTTATTATTCGGATGTATAATACAAAATGTGAAATAAAAATAACCACGTATATGCATATGTATTTATATGTATTTAATATTATACCCATAATGTGTATACATAAATCGACCATTGAACCTAAACTGAAAAGTGAAAAAGGAGAGAAATGAAACAAAAAACGCTATATTACTGATACACATCTTTATGGATGTGTGTGCATAGTATAGTCACTTTATGGTCGACAATATACTGCTGCTGACCAATTCTAAAATAATTGAAGTAGACATCATGATTTAATTGTATAAAACAATATGAAACTTATAATAATAACAATAACATTATGGAAATAGTGTATTATTAAAGGTATTACAAAAAAAAAATCTACGTCTATCATAACTAAATATAGGGTATATATAATATTATCATATATGCGGTCATGGTGTAAGCAACAAACATTATTATGAATAATATTAGTGCATTAATAAAAAATTTAAAAAAAAATAAAAGGCTACACATTAGAAGAAACTAACCAAAGTGCAAGCAAATACAAAATAAAAAACAAAAAATAGGTTCGTTTATTTTTTGAATTTTCTTTCTTTATTTTTTATAATAGGTTGCTGTACCATTTAATTTTATCTTAATAGCACGTTAAATATCTACATACATACATTTCCATACATCCATGCATTTACGTGCTCACATAAGATGTATATACAACAACAATATTTTTAAACGGGTCCAATATGAAAGTTTTCTTTCTTTGTCTTTTGTTTTTTTTTTTTTTAATTTTCGTTTTTCTGTTCACTTTCACCAAAATGTTTGGATATAAAATACAAAAAAAAAAAAAAATACAAGAGAATTTTCCAATTTGAATTCTTATTGTATGTAATATGCACATGAGTCCTGTTACAAATATTGTAATTTGATTACTTATTCGTTATTTATAGCTTCGAAATATATGGATAATATGTACGTATGTAAGCATTAAATATTTTTAAACATTGAATTTCATTTGAAAACTATATGTACATATATGTGTGTATGAACATACTATATTAATATAAAAAAAAAATATTATAGAAAAATTATACACAAAATAAATTTTGTATTTAAGTAAATGCATTACGTACGTTTTCCAAACCTTCGCTTCAAAAATAAGTAAATACTTTTTTTAAAATTAAATATTATTATTGATGTTTTTAGGTATTATGGAATTGAATTTTAAAAACTATCAAACATTTGAAAAAACAAATGAATATTAAAAATAATTTGTTTAAGTAACTCAGTTGCAATTAGGTTAGCCAGTGAACATTCATGAAAGAAATAAATTCGATTCGAAAACAATTCAATTCAAATTTTAGAACAAAACTAAAATTTCAAAATTAATCCTAATTCTTTATTAATAGCGTATGTTACATTTTACTAGATAATTGAGGAAATAGTTAGTGAAGATCTTATATTCATATTTATAAGATAATTTTGTAGCAAAAATTAAATTCACTTTGTTTTGAATTTGAAAATATTTAATTGAAAAAGTATGTACATAAGTATGTATTCTTACTATGGAAAAATGACATATCCATTTGAAAAAAATTAGAATTCTGAATTGGAAGTAATGAAAACGTAAATTTTACGCTGTCAATTTTACGATTAGAAATTTTACTAATTCTCTTACGTACATATACACGTATACGTTCTGCATGTATTAAGTATTTATTTGTAATAAATGAATTTTAATAGCGTATTACAGCATCTTTGAAAGTTATCAAACTAGGTCTATAAATTTGGAAAATATTTAAATTTCACTTCACTACTTATACGTATCTTAAGTACCACAGAATACTATACAGGATATTTTCTTCATATTAGAATTTTCGTACAAAAATTTATTGTATTATAAAATATATATACGAGTATATATACATACATTATATTATATGCATATGACCATATATAAATATTTATTGAAAAATCATTTAAGTATATATATACATCAGTATAATGTATATGTATAACGATTTTTCTATACAATTATATCATGATCATTTTTGTAATTTACGACATACAATTTAATCCAAATAGAACCAGTTTACTTTTATAAACAACATTAAATATTAGTGAATCATTTTTAAAATTCAAAATTTTTAATTGATTTTCTTATTTCAATTTTCAATATATAAATACTTAGTAACTAACTTATGAAATTAGCAATTAGCTGCAATAACTCATATTATAAATTTTAATTTAATTTCAAAAGTAAACAATAAGTATGATACATACTTTACTAATGTAATTCAAATATTTAGGTGAATCACTCAAAATTTTTGAATAACTAAGAATAAATATATATACAATATATTAAATATTTAAAGTTTTACTCAAGTTGATTCATAGTTTTCTAATTATTTTTTTACAACACAGGTAAATATATTAACTATTTTCTCTAAGAAAATGAATTCTTTTCAATAGTTAGAAAACACAATACAATTTGATTTTTTATTTTGCAAATTTTTATTAAAAATTTATTTTTTTTTTTTCAATTTTATGTTTTGCTAACCATTCCTTAATTAAGTGAGTATCAGAATCGAGTAAAATATTTATTTTAAGTTAAATGTGTTAAAAATTACTCATTAAATTTAGTAGAGTATGTATTTGTTTCAGCATTCGTACAAGGACAATAAAGCTTAAACTATTTTAAATTTAATATAGTTACAATAAGCGTTTAAGTATTATAAAAAAATCAAGAAAATTTGTTGATTATTTTTCTTTATATACGTAAAAATGTAAAATTGGCAAAAACGTCCAGTTCCCGAGGTCTGATATATCCCAAAAGTTGATTAATCCGTGACATAGCCAAAACAAACTAACATATAAAATTTCATGAAATCGGTTCAAACGAACTTGAAATGCACGTGTGCACACACACACCAACAGACGGACACCTCTCTAAAAATATTTAATTTACGCTCTCCCGCTATGAAATTCCCACCGAAAACTCGATATGCAAAATTTGTTGCTATCAAATCCCCATATTGTATGCAATGCGGTCCGTAAAAAGTATAAGTAAATAAGATAGAAAATATGCAATAAAGCAGTTATACATTTTGGAATACTTAAGTATGAATAAAATAGTAGGTCTTTTCACAAACGCAGTATATCGCGACATTATATTAAAATGGTATAGCGAAAACTGCGATATATTTGTGTTTATAAACAATTGTTGCTAACTAGTTTGTTTATAAACTTGGCTAATTTTTCGCAATAATAGCGAAATTAGTGTGACTAGCGCAGTTAAGTTTCACAACTATTTTGGTTTTATAGAATAACTGTTAGAAATATTATTATTCACATTATGTTTTTGCAGTATTGCGTTTCGCAGTTATTGTTTTGCAGTATTGTAAATTACTACTAAATTTTATTTTTAAAAATAATATTTATTAAGAGTTAAGTTCAATAGAAACTTGAAAATTAAATTTTTTTGTTTTTGAAAGGTTAACCGTTTATGAACGTTGCTTTTCTGAATTTTATTAGAAGTTGTACAGGAGATTAACGATAAGTGGGTAATTAATTGCTTAAAAATCTTTATTTTAATAAATTTTTAATAATTTAACATTTGAATTCAAATAGATAAAATATGTATATAATTATTTATTATTAAAATAATTGAATATTCTTAAAATTCAGTTTGAAGGCAAGTTAAACAATTTCGAAAATATAAAATTTTCGTAATTACAATAATAGGAATGAAACAAATGAAAATATAAAAAGAGACTTGCGCGAAAATTGGTATAAAAACGGAAAATCTTCCTTCTAAGGAAAAATATTCGGATATATAATGTATATGTACATACATATGGATATATCCAAACCTAAATTCAAAACTTGAAGTTCGAAAATAAAATCATAAAAAGCTTTTAGGAATAGTATTGTTATTTGAACGAAAAATACTAGTTGATAGAGTATATAAAAAAATTAAAAGCATTTTTCATCACAATAAAGTTAACTGTACAATAATGTATATTTTATGTACATATTGTGTACGTATACCTATTTATTTTATATACTTATTCCTATTTTTATTACTTTTCCTGTAGTTAACTTTCTATTATACACAATAATATATATAAAGTATAAAGGAAATGAATACACAAAAAACGCAAACAAAATTATTCAAATTAATCCAAAAATAAAATTTTTTGTTATATAGACTAACTACATACAAATTTTTTTATTACACAAATATATTATTATATGAACCTATATATGTATATATGTGAAAATATAAATTACAAAAACTCACCTGTTAGAATGCTGAAGATAAATGAAATAAGAACTGAAACTTGTAATCCTAATATCATGTTGTCGTCTTCTTTCTTTATTCCTTTTTTTTTTACTAAGTTCTTATATTATGTATGTATTAATAATTATTTGTATTTAAATAACAAATTTTATTAACTTTTTGAAAACAACCTTTATTAGAGAAACTAAATTATATTTATGCGATTTTAGTTTTTTTTTTTGTTTAGGTATAAGTATTAGGCTTTTTCTTTTATTTCACCTTAAAAAATAAGTAAATTAAATATTGAAATTTATTAAAATGTTATAAACATATTAATTTTTATAAATAAAAGTAAATTAAGTAATATAAATTCAAAAAATTTAGATCGGGATTTTTTAAATAAGTCAGAATCAAAATGTGGGTAGAAGAATTAGAACAAAACAATCAGAATTAATTGATGTTACCAAATTTTCAAAAAATGTAATATACATTAGTATATATATATAAACATATTTAGAACTGAAATGAAATTTGAACAAATTACATTACGTAAATCAATAAAAAAAAATTTACTCTAACAACGGTAAATAATTAGTTAGACCTATTTTATAAAGTTGAAATTAATTTTTATACAAAATTAAAAATTGAAATACATTTTTTCCATTCTATTATGGTAACTATAAAAATTTTATAGAATTATAGACGTTTAAGTGCCTACTAATTATTATTTAATCTATTTATACGTGGCACTACAAATTATTTATTTGTTAGAAGATTATTTGGAAAATAATAAATACATAACGTACTTAATTATAAGCAACTTTTATTTTTACATGGTACAAAAATATTGTTTAGTACACTTGTTAAATAAAACTAATAAATTTTAAAGAATAATTTAAAAAATCTCAATCTAAAAAAATATTTTATAATATTTTCATATTTTTTATATTTTAATAATTTCTTTTTATATAATATTATTTCTTCAAAGTTATTTTTTTTTTTAATTTTATTCTAAAGAAAACAATTTGTTTATGTAGTTTTGCGTATAGATAGATTTTTAATTTAAATAAAAAGTAAGTGTTATATAGTTCAATAGGTAGTTATGTAAATATATATAAATATATTAAAATAATGTATTTATATACATAATAAATTCGAAATAAATTTGTTAAATTATAATAAATTTTAAAATAAACACAATATATTTTTTTTGTAAAACAAACACTATAGTCGAAATGAAAAAGAATTGTGTATAACAATATCGGAAAAAAAATATTAAAATTTTTTTATTTAAATTTTAATTATTTTTTTATACATGCATATACATATGTACATAAGCAAACTTATTATAAGTGTATGATAATTTCATATATTTTATAATTGTATAACAAAAACACAACTATATTTATTTGAATATAATAATATAAAAAAAAATACTTAAATGTTTATTTAATAATTTTTATATTTATAGTTAAATTTTTCATCACTTAATATATTTAACATTAAAATTTCATATTATAAAAAGCTAGTTCATATAAGAAGCCTAGTTCTATATTAATTTCTATAAGTATATTTAATATACATATGTATATTAATGGTAAAATTATGAATGTAAATGTAAATTGAAACCGGTTTTGTTTTTTTAATATAACAAGTTTTTTTTTATTATTTTTAATTATACAGTAATTTTATTACACCAAATATAAAGATATATGTTTTTTATTAATTATTTTTTTTAATTAATAATGAAATTTTTGTATTGGAATTAATAATTCTTGTAATAGTCGAAATAAATTTAAATACTATGTATGTATGTATATGTATATTTGTTATATAAAAATATATGTTAATTTAAAATTTAAGTAATTTATATTCTTTTATTTCACATAATTTTATAAAATAAAATTTAGAAATTATTAAAAATCCATGTTATTTTATTTTAATTTTATAGTTCTATTTAATTTCACAAATTTTATACTCTACTTGAACTACAAAAAAAAAAAATTAAATAAGGAAAGAGCTTTTGTATACAGGTGTGTAAATAAGAAAAAAAAAATAATATAAATTTTTTTTTCTTGATAAAATTTCAGTTTTATAAAATTTAATATTATAAAAAATTTAATTTAAATAAAAATTTATAAAATTGTTTTTTTTTTTTTTTAATTATAAACAAAAAATTTACAATTTATACAAAAATAAACCTTTTATTTTAAATGCATTTACAAAATTCATTTATTTTTTTTTGTATTTTTTTTTATTATTGTTTTTATTCCATCAATGTGCGTTATTTTATTAATGAATATATGAACGAAGCAACAGTTATTAAGCGACTGATTTTACTATATAGGTATTAACTTTATCTATTGTGCATGTGGTAAAAAAAAAATATTAAAAAAAAAAAAAAAAGAAGAAATAAAAGCCAATTGGTGAATACATACACGCGTAGTATAAACTTATATACACTATACACATTTATAATGTAATGTGTATATACAAACATACATACATTGGTATATATTTTTATAGAGTTTTATAAACAAAAGATACATTTTCCCTATACACAAAAATATATGTTATATACAAATCTAGTTATTCTATTTTCTGTTTATATTTTTATAATTATGTACATTATGTATGTTTGTATATACTTCGGGAACTGAATAATATATAAACACATGTGGCGAAATTATATTATGACAAGGAAAGTTAAATTATGGTTTTATATTATTATAACGCTGTATATAACAGTTTAAGTCAGTATAATTTGAATTAATGATTCATTTAAGTATGTGAATGTGTGTGTGTGTGTGTTGTACGTTAATTTAAGTGCTGCCACTTTGAACAAACTAAACTTATTTTGTAGTTTTGGAATTAGGTCTATTTCTTTTCGTTTCTTACTGTTTTGATTACTGTTTGACTTTTTTTTTCATAAATATTATAATTTTTGCTCTGTAAACAAATTGTTCCCTGATAAAAATTTTTAATAGTGGCAATGCTGCTTATTTTACTTCTTTTATAATAATTTACCTGTATATTTTGTTATAATATTGTTATACTATACATAATGTACATATGTATATGCTATATAAAAATCTATTAAACCCAACTTAAAACATTTAAACTTTATCTACATACATACCTATTAGTATAATTTAATTCAGATATAAGATTAGATTTTTTTTGTATACAAACGTAAAAGCTTTTAAATTTTTTATACATTACATGTATAACAGTTATATCTATTAATATTTTCGTATAAATAAAAACGGTTTATTTCATTAAACACAAGTATTTTTACATTTTATATGTTAATAGTATTTACTATATTTATATTATATACATATATATATAAAGAAAATACATACATACGAATTGAATCATAAATTTATATTTTGTTGTTTAAATATATACATATTTACAAAATACATGCATAAACAAGTTAAGGTGAAATTGTACACCATATAGTATAAAAACGATATTCGATTTTGTAAAATCATCATCGCATCATACCAAAAGCAGCATACATAGAGTAAAGCTACAATTAATTAAGATATCAAAATATAAACAAATGTACAGGTACATACAAAGCGTATATGTGTGTATAAATAAACTTCGTTTTTATAGTTCAACATATTATACTACACAGCGACAAAATTTAATTATGAAGAAGCAGTAAGAAAACAACAATCACACACATAGAAATATATATTTTATTCCTACTACACAAATACTCTTATATGCATTTATTAGAGTGACCAGTTATGAAAAAAATTTATAGCAGAACAAAAATTTAAATAGATAACGAAGAGGTAAATTATTTTATTTATAAGGAAAATCAAATAACTATGACGCTTTTAAATATAAACAGTGTCTACATCCAATAATCTACCATATATTTTTAGACTGCAATTTGTTTAGCGAATGTAGAAAACCCATTTTGATTTCATATTCTTTGCTCCAAGATGGGAACTATGACTTTAAAAACAAAATCCTGCCAGTAAAGAGTGTGTATGTATTTAGTTTTAATATTTCAGATTATTTTTTAATTGATTCTGTCCTACAATTTTAAATTATGTATAGTAATAATTTTTTTTCAGTACTTAAAATTCAGAAATCGATTAAAATTCCATTATTAAAAATAATTTATTTAAGTTTACAAAAATGTAATGAAATTGCACCTGACAATTTACAAAAGTTGTGTGTATTCGTGGAAAAAAATTTATATTTTGAAGATCGTTTTAAGACTCTGTTTATTTGGCGTCTCTTTATTTGAATGAATTTGATAAGACAAACTTTCTTTTTGCGTTTGGTAAAGAATCAATGCAAAATGCCAATCAATCGAAAAAATACCCAAAAAATGTTATACTATACACATGTTATGTTCCTGCCATTTCTTTTCTAAATACTGGATTGATATAAATTCTTTTAATGGCTTGATTTTATTTTTTTCGAAATCAGAGAATTTCTAGAATGTTAGTGATGGTTGAAAGAGAGACAATAAATTGTTGCTTCTTACAGACTTCTTTACTTGTAGGTGTTCCGAATCAGCTTATATAACCTTGTATTAAATACAAAAAAATTTCAATTTAGTTTGTTTTCAATTTATGTATATTTTCAATATAATATATTATATAAAATTATTATAATTACAATTATATTATTCTAATAATATTATTCCCTTACAATATTCCTTTAAAAAAAATTCATGTTCACTGAGATTTTAGTTAATCATGCGATTTCCTTTAAATTAAATTCATTTTAAATATATTTGAAAAATATTTGAAAATAATTAATTATACACAATTATCACACTAAAAATTATAAGTTTTTCTTAATAGAATTGTTATGCTATACTTTATTATATCATTATATATAAATTATATTCTAAAAGCGATTAATTGAATATGGATCAGACATATAGAAACAGCAACTACAAGGATAACCTACAAGAAAAAGAAATTAAATAAAATAAAATAAATCTTAATAAAATTATTAAATTTATAAAATAAATAAAATTAAAATTTCAAAAACTTATTTAAACTATTTTAAGAAACTTTATTTCAACTATTACTTAAATTATGTAAGTTATTATTACTTATTCATATAACAAAATCAATTTAACCATTGTAAGCTTAAATACAAAGAAATTAAATTATTTAAAGAAATCTAAATTATCTAAAAGTTCTTTAATAAGAATAATATTATTTATTAAGCAAATAAAAACTAATTGTCAATTTTCTAATATTTTTTTTAGGTAATTTTATAGTAAATTTATAATAATTGTTTTTTATTTTACAAAATATATTATTTCACATATTTCCCTAACTCCCATTTTAATTATTTTCATTTTTATTAAGAATAAGTAATGCTGAAATATATAATTGCTAATATAAAAAAAGAAATTACTTTAAAAATTAAAAAAAATTAAAAAAAGAAATCTGATAGGAATAGCATATAACCGACCACATTACTAATGTGTCACATAAGATTGTCAAAACTTCCTTTAAATATTTACTAGAAAAACGTAAATTTGGTTATAAGTACAGTATCAGTTTTCGTGATCCGATATCCCTGCAAAATTTTCAAGTTAACAATAAGATCTCAAATATAAAATTCCAAAAAATTTCCTCAATTAGTTCCTGAAATATTGTCAAATACGTAAAATCGAGCCTGATAGTTAAAGTTCCGTTTCTGAGCTCTAATATCCCCAAAAAATTTATTACTTCATTGTTTTAACACTTCAACTGAATTCAACTACTTAATTTCAAGGAAATTGGCTAATTATCTCTCTGTATATAAACGAAGATGTAAATTCGGCCCATATTAAAATTTAAAACTCCACACTTACTGATATCTAATTTTCTCAAATGATTTGGTGGGTTGTGGGATATTTTAATCGGAGCTTTTAAGCCGAATTTGAGATTATGATCTGCCCAGATAAATTGGTAGACAGTCATCTCTCTAAAAAAGTTTATTGTGTTTCACTATTCGTTTCTCCCGAACTCAATATACGAAATTTGGTACTATCTATATGAAATTTCAGTTTGTTCACGATACAAATTTAAAGATGCTTAAACTTGATCAAATAGAACACCATCTATTGAAAATAATATGTCGACTTGGTATAAAAGTTTAAATATGGTGAAAATGAAAACGTCATCATTTTCTCTCATTTTTGTTCAAAAAGTATTATATCAGACGTTTTACATACAAAAACTTCATAAAATTTTTCAAGTTTTATGAAGTAGCCATACCAGACAGACCTATCAATGATATAATATGCATATTAAGCAAAAGTTTTTAATTTAAGAAAGTCAAGTTCATTCTTATCCTCGTACAAAAACAAAGGAGAAGAAGAAATAATTTTTATTTAAAAAAGAATTTGGAAATAAGGAAAAAAATATTAATTTACAAATTTTCATTTCAATTTTTTTAAATACTGTTATAATTAAATTTTGATTTCAAAAATAATTATTTCTAACTTGAAACCAGTTTCTCCACCAAATTACTACACACTAAGTTATTAAATAACAATAAATTATGCATTTTAACTAAATTTTATTACTTATTATTAAGTGCCTAATTTAAACTTATCCCAAATAACCATTTATTTAAGTTAATGTATGTATATTATATAATTTGAAAATTTAAATATATAAGTACGTATGTTCATAAAAATGTGTGACTAACAAGTCACCTAAAATCTATAAATTAAATTAACAAATCCTTATCTGTTATACATTATATTCGAATTACTATATACGTAGAATGAAATTACAGAACCAATTTGAAAAAAATTCGAATACATTTAAGTTATTTTCGAATCCTAATTACTTTATAATATAATTATAATATATGCGTACATTATAATCAATCAAGTATGAAAAAAAGGAAAACAAGAAAGACAAACAATAATTATTATTTAATTTCTAGAATCCATCGTCCAACAATATCCTAAAAATAAACCTAACAAACTAATTTCCTATAGCCACTGACATTTTTATTAATTTAATATACATTAGCTAAATAACCTACAAATACAATAGTAATACCGCAATACATTATGTTTGTTTGTAGAAGTCTTCTATTATGAATACTTAAATAAACATATTATGTATGTATGAATGTATAAGGACAAAAATTATTTATCTAAAAATAACTTAAATATTAAAGTTTCAAAAAATATTAAATATCTTAAATGCTTTACCGCGACACAAAGAAAACAAAAACTTTTAAATATCAAAAAAGAAAAAAAAACACCGGATATTAGAAAACGATTTTCAACTTTTTAATAATTAATAATTTTGCTATTATTTTGTAAAAAAAAAACA